CTTGGCCTTACCTTAGTACTCCCTAGAGTTTTCGATTGTGCCCCGAAAAACCAATTTACAGTGTAATTCCCCCATATTAATGAGACTGCGTCGAACTTTAATTGGTTCACATGAATAATAAACCTTTCAAGTAAATATCGACAGTCAGTCGGGTTTTAGGCCTTAAACCTTGTTCCAAGGTCTCCTTCCATAGTTTCAACCATGTTTTAATCTAATATGATAGTCGTCAACCACTAACCTGCCAAAAATTGCCCAATAAATTTAATCAGCTACACAAGAACTACTAGCAACTGAAACATGAGGCGGCATGATGCAGCACATTCAGTTGCACATTCAGAAACATCACAAACGAGAGATTTAGCTGGATTCCAGGTGAGTTTCTCACAAAACCAAATTTGTTTGCAAATTAGTGTATTTCGCTAATTTCCTGCAATTTGGTTTCAATTAGTACATAGGGTTGACGGAAACTCGGGGACGCCTACCTGATGAGTCCCAAGAAGGGCGAAACCGGTCGTGGGTTGTCGAAGGATTTTCAGCAACCTTATGAGTAGTGCATTACGAATACACGTGTATCGCGCTATCTCGATTATCGTAGCAACTGAAGCATTAGGTGGCCTGGTGCTGCACATTCAGTTGCCTGAAAACATCGCAAATGGGAGATTCAGCTGGGTTCCACGTGAGTCTCTCACAAAACCAAATTTGTTTGCAAATTAGTGCATTTCGCTAAGAACTAATTATGCTCCAAAGCCGCCCATGAGCTTCACTAGGTATGTGTTGAACCCACTTCATATGGTTTCTCTTCGAGCGAAGCCTTCCAGTTCCCTATCACGAACTGTCATGATTTTTGTGTGCTTATTCTTATACTTACCATATATACTCGTACTGAACTTTTGTATGTACATTTCAGCTCATGTGCGCTTGTTCTTAGACAAGTAAAACGTTGCTTATCCTCGAAAACCTGGACTCTGTTCTAACTCGTTCTCGGACACTTTCTAAACGTCTCACGAACCCATCATGTCCTATAAGATTGACGGTCTTTATTCTACCTCGAACCTTATCTAACAAAATGCTGCCAACGATCGTTCCTCTCCTTTTCTTGCTCAGCTTCCGTCATCCCTACACAAGAAGAAGTGCTATTTGTGTTATGCCACAAAAGAAATAGCAAACTGTGTAAGTCCACAGATTGTCCGTTGTAATTGGTTTTGTGTCTTTGTGTGAGTCCCTGCTTCTTCATGTAATTGTATTCCTCCACGAATTAAGCATCGTCGGCAGTGGCGGTGAAGCAGTCTAGCTGCTGTTTGGACTCGTCTATGATAGTTCAGTTGGACGATACTTCAGTTGATGAGCTTCTCATGAGTGCTAGGCACCCGTGAGCCGAAACATCGTCGTCGCTTAATGAACACAGACGAAATCCCGTACATGCAGCGTTTTTTATGACCTGCTCTGAGTTTTGTGCCATTTTATCCTAGGATACATAACCATCGGATCGCATCGTCTTCGAAAACCTAACTATCACCTTTCCGACCCCTTAGCTCAGTTATTTATCCAACTACTCTCCGTACTATTCGGGGAATGCGGCCTTATCGGTAATTAGTCTTCGTAAGTTGACGCACATCTGTTGCTAGTTATCAGGAAGGTCAGATTCCTAAAAGTAACCTTTGAATGCCTGAACTCCACTAGATGCTGACCACATAGACAACGCCCTCTCAATGTGCAGCGCGTCACAACCTTGTATCAAAGCCAGACAGTGTGATTCAACGAGGCCGTTGTACTCGCGCACTCACTCGCCTGTTCACAGTAGAGCTGTTGTGTTCCTTGTCGGTGTGTCTTTTTTCGGCACTAGGCACTGGAGCGGGGACAGCAGTCAGAGATAACAGTAGCGTGAAGAGATTTGGGATATTTAATAGGGATTTCATCCCGTAAGTTGAGCCAATCTCTGCTGAAAAGGCGATAGGCCTCAAAATCACTGCATGGGGTATCTCAAACTATGGGTTGGTTACAGCAGTTTGAAATATGCACGTGGTCATTTTCCACCGCACGATTGTTCTGGTTTAACTCTGTTGACTTCCACAGGAGTGTGGTACTTCTATCGTGCGTATGGGGAGACTATCTCTTACTCTCCGCACTGAGTTAAATCTGTCTGCTTTTACCCGTTTATGTTGCCGACCTGTATGTTCTGGAATTCGCCCCTTTTTTTCTGGAAGCCAGGGTTCACTGCATTTGGGACCCGCAGCTGCTTTCCTTTGTCCACGAATCATTTTCATTCGGGTAGCTCGCCATCCCAGCCGGAGACAGGTCTCTTTCCGCGTACCATCTCTCACATTCTTCCATATGCCCTATGACTAGACGAGTTACCGATCGTGTTGGCTCGCCCCCCCTCGACATGGTCGTTATTCCCTGGTTGAATATGTAGCTTCTACCAGCTGGTATTATTTGGGCATTACGGGTGGCGTGGCTCAGTGGCTAAGGCGACAACTTACGGGCCAGAAGGCCCCTGGTTCGAACCGAAACTCAGCATCTCGACTGCTCTTGCCTAGGCTTGGGCAACCTGGCACTATCTCAGCCTTCGTGCCTCCTTCCGTTGGCATGACAGTAAGAAAGAGTGTTACAGCTGAACTATTGTTTTGATTGTTGTTTTTACGGGTTATTATATCTGCTGATTCGCCAATCTGTTGTATCTGACCTCTAACCCGCTCCAGTGCCTAATGCCCGAAAAAAAAGACTCACAGGAGGGAACACAACAGCCATATTCCTAACAAGTGAGTGCGTGCGAGTGCAAAAATACAACGGTCTCAAGCTACTTATTGGAGGGACCCTGTCTGAGCTTTGTCCAATGCTGACACGCGCGGTCTGGCCTTGATACGAGGCTGTGACGCGCTGCATATTGAGGGGGCGTGGCCTGTTTGGTCAACATCTAGCGGAGCTGAGAGTCTCAGTAGATTCCGGGCATTCACTGGTTGCTCTCAGGAATGTGACCTTCGTGATACGGGTACACTTAATGACCAAACAATGCGCTTCTGATTGGTAATCCTTCGTAACTTTAGTGTAATATGTTGCTTTGGCCTCGAGTATAAAACAGGTGACTACGCACTGCGATTATATTCAACTTGGCGTAGCATGTAAGCTCAGTCCTGTATGCACACACGAACTCGGTTCTGCAATTGATTAGTCATGGAAACAAACCATGATATGACAACCCGATAGCAATGGTCTGAGACGTAGTTGATTGGTTCGAAGCATGATAAGTTTTCAGTCGGTGTTCTGTTCCCATGATTTTTTTTCAAAATAAAATACACCAACAACCTGAACATATTCACTGCAAGTTGGTGAGGCTGTACGAAGAAGAAAGGGAAACTAAGTGGAATTCTTCACCAATGAGCAATCCAGTCTTTCCCTGGGAGGTGTTTCTTGGACTCTTCGGACTGTGTCCTTCGTCCGATTTAAAAGAAATGTAAAAAGCTCTTGGTTTTCACGAGACTCAACTGATTCTCCAGCTTATGATATTCCACAGCTGAATCTGCCACACACAGGC